AAACTTCATCTAATCAAGAGTTTTAATGCTTGCTGACCTAATGCTGCAGCCTCAGTTTCCTCATCTGTAAAATGAGGGAGTTGAACTAGATGACCTTGTAGGACCTTTCCAATTCCAGTCCTGCGAACCTATAAGGAAGAAGCAGCTGAGGGCCACGTGCTGCAGTCTTTCTCTGAACAGGGGCGAAAGGCATGTGTCACGGTGGCTTTCCAAATTATTTGTAAATAAAGAACGGATTTGGGGGACAGACACTGTGGGTAGTATGTTCTCTGTTTTACATATGAGGAAACTGAGGCTCAGAGAGAGGTGAAGCGACTTGCTTAGGGTCACACAATGTAGGAATCAGAAGCAGGATTTGGACTCAGATTTTCACCAAGACTAGGGCTCTGTCTGCCCCACCCTCTGCCTCGTAGCTCAGAGAGTGACTGGCAGAAATATAGTCCCTGGCAAACAGCTTTTTGGCTTGTGATGAAAGGCACCTGCACAAAGCAATAGGCTTTCTAGAAACAAGGGATTCATTCAAGAGCCAGGAAACTCCCGAGCTCAATGGGGCAAACGAAATTGCTGAAAGTTATGTGGAAATTAACTGGCCTGCTTAAAAAAAAGACAAACAGCATCTAGGCTATTTCCCTAAAAGCTGTATGAAACCAAGGCACATAGTGTAATTTCCCTATGGGATTCGATAATTGAGGTGGGAGAGGTGAGGATAAGGAGATAGAAAGAGAACTGAATTAGCTTGGATTCCAGCAAGCTGCAAATATGTTTCAGAGGGGAATTAGATGGAGGTCATCGTAATGCTCATACAAAAGATGTGTTAGTATACTGTGGAGTGTGCACTGCTAAGCTACACCATTAACTCTATGAAGAGTGGAAAGAGCGTTGTTGATTTCAATGACCTTTTATTGATCCCCATCCTCACTGCCCACCTTGGACACATCCTGACTGTGGGACCCTGGGCAAGTCACTTCCCTTAGTGCTCAGGCAGCTCTCCAAGGGCCTAAGTGGCACAGAGGACACTCACCTGCAGCAGAAGAGGGAGTTCCCTTTCCTTAGGAAACCATGGGTCCAATCCCTACCCTGTCCACGCTCTCTGCAGCTTCTCTGGAGGGCCCCTTTCCCCAGGACTTGCTTCCTTTGGTTTCTGTGAGACTGGTCTCACCTGGTTTCCTCCTCCTTTTCTGACTGCTTCTTCAAAGTCTTCTTTGCTGGCCCCCTATCTCCTTCCTTCTAAGGAAGCGTGTTTGACTCAATCAATCTAAGCACTGGGGATACAGACAGAAATAGAACAGATTTTGCCCTCGGAAGCTTACAACCTAACTGGAGAGACTGACTATCTATCTATCTATCTATCTATCTATCTATCTATCTATCTATCTATCTATCTA